TTGGGACAGCGCAGCAACCAAAAGGTCTTTTGGCGGGCAAGGATGCACCAAACCACGCTATCCATGTGGAAAAGATCCCGAAGCACCCCAAGGAAAGTCCGGACAATGATATGGCCCAAGTGCTTCCCACTGGTCCCACTCGTCTCGAACCTCAGCACGCTGCAGAACATCGAACCTAAAAGGTGAGTGAGGGTCGAGGGTGTCGGCAGCGGCGCGGCAGCAGGATTCCAAACAGCGCAACACTAGACAAAGCTCATCCGCAACAAAAAGGTCTTCTTGCTGAATGCGGCAAATCGCCGGACCCGCACCTTGGCATTTCGTCTGCCGCGCAGCCGCCCGAGCACGCTCCAACCGAGGAGCGCCGGAACTGCGCGCAGGAAGCAAGCTGGAGACTTTGTCCAACAGGCCATCACATGTCGGCAGGCAGCCTGAAGGCGGTTGCACCTGATTCGCCTGACGTGCGACCTCAAACCAGCACCTTTCAACACTGATCTCCCAGTGGTTGAGGCCATGAAGGACAAGGCCCAACTGCCTGCAGGGGCCCTGTGTCCAAATCTGGCTGCCAATATACGCAACATGAACCAGCCCGCCACCAGCAAGAACACGAGAGACATATGCCGACAACATAGGTCGAAGACGAGGGTGGGCGACCCAACCCGCAACCGTTTCCCATGAAGCAAGTGGGACTTCGATGAGGTCCAGAGCACACTTGGCATCAACAGCAGCCTCAAGGATAGCTCAAATCGAGTTGAAGAGTGAAATAGCAAGCACAGGGCGCTCGGTGGCAGACAGCCCACGTTTGGTTGCCGCCCGTGCAATGCCTGCAAGGTGATCAGCAACCTTGTTGGCTCGGATACGTTGCCGGGCAGCCCACCGCCGAAGGGGAAGAAAGCCCCCGGTCCTGTCCCCAAGGGAAAAAGAACCACCCCAAGAAGACAGCCCGGCCAGGGCGCCAAACAAAGAAAAGGGGGCCAACCCCAAAAGACCGAGAACCCACCCCCCGGAAGAAGGCGGCCCATTTGTCCGTCGGAAAGTCTGATGCCAACACCTGACTTTGCAGGTGCGGAGCTACAAACCTACATAACCCTGCAAGTTTGCATCCCACTGTGTTGCAAGATCCTAGTGCTTGCCACAGCAACCCCACTGCAATATGCCAAATACGCAAGAGCGTTGGCCATCAAGAGATGGACTCCACGAAACCCCACCAACGATGTGCGGCATTGAGCATGCATTTGCGCCAGAAAGAATGCCCTCAAGGCAAGAAGGCAACCTGCCTAATTAAGACAGTGTAATGGATAGGGTACCCCCATGCACACAAAAGGCTGCGTCAAGGCAAGGTCACTCAAAGCGGACCCGCGAGTGGTGGCATCGAAGCTATGTACAATATCCACCACTCGGGAGTGGTACCAGGAGAGGCAAAGCACTGTAAATCAAGCAAAGGGATTCTTGCTATCTCAAGTAAATCAAGAGGACCTGAAATGCCAAAGCAAAATTGATCACACTTGCAATGGAAATCCAGTTACGAAGCAGCAAGAGCATGGTAATACCAAGGTCACGTATGGCCCGAGGCAACCGCCCCAGGAGGTGCACCGGACCAACTTCCCAAGGATATTCAATATTCAATTGCGACGAGGTCCTGTGAGTGCCATTGTCACTCCACAAACGTAGTGGCACTAGGATCACACCACAGAGACATAAAGGGGATTGTTGGTAAATATCAGCAGTCACACCAGCCGATGTAACTGGATGCCGAAGGTCAAGGGCCAAGGACACTGAAGTGCAACACCAGAGTGCAAATCTGGCCCCTAATCCATCATACAGATGCACGGCCACGAAAGGCAAGTATAAGAGCCTGCCCTCAACGCGACCACCGTTACTGGAGAAGGCTGATTACTGTCACAGCACCCCACCAAGTCATGGCCATGAAAGGCAGGTAGTTTGGGCCTGCCCTCTACGCGACCACTCTTTCTGGAGGAGATTAGCACCGGGACTGAATGCCACTTCGACCGGCAAAGGCAAGGCTAGTGTCTTAGTCGTCAGCTTTCCAAGATACTCACCGAAAAGGCGTCGGACCTCAGGTTCATGTGGCATCCAAGGACGGACCTTGAAACCTGAAATCTTCATCATGCCAAAAGGGTATCCAAGGTTAGTCACAGCTCCGAATAGGGGTTCACTCCAAGGCAGCACAAAAGATTGCAAGGCCGTCTCAAGGGGTTGAAGAGCACTGAGCTCGACCAAGGAGACACCAGGATTTTCAACCTGCCTGGAGGGCCAACACAATTTTTGGGCCCAGTCATATAATGCCTGGGTAAAAGTGGACTCCACGGGCTGGCGAAACGAAGTATATCCGGTGAGGGCAATATCAATGGCACAAAATCTGCAGGCACTGCAACAGAGGCAAGTGGAGCTCTCTCTTCATGCTGGGGAGGTCGGATGCCATTATCGGCCTTGACCACAGGGAAGGCACGGACAGTTTTGGCAACTCCTGTCAAGACTAGCCCCCAATGATGTCTGCGGAAACCAATGGCACTGTAGGCAGTATCACGCACCACCAGGGCATCTTGGGAACCGGCGTCAAGAGCAGCCCCAGCTGCCTGGTCTGCAAGGTGATTACCCCAGAAGTCAAACAACACAGGGTCAGAAAAAGTGCGCACATCGCTGCTCTCGTCCTGGTGACTTTTGATCTTGTCAACAACTATTGATCTGTTGCCAGGATGGGCCTCAAGTGCCTTGATCAGCAACAACACAAGGTCAAAGTTGGGTCTGTTGACCCACTTCGTGGGCTGTGGAGCACATCGAACCTTGGCAATGGTATTGATCACGTACATCGGGTCGGTGACAAGACGGATGTGACGAAAGCTACCAATTGCCACTATGGCAGCAGACAATTCTGCCCTACTAACAGTCTGCCGACCCGTGTTTTCCCGGTACGTGTTTTCCGGTACTAAAGACCGAGAAGACAGGGGGCGCCACTCCAGAAAGACGTGCATCACGAGCCAATCCAACCATGCAACGATCACTCAAGTCATCAAGGAGCACAACTGCAAACGAAGTATCACACGTTGACAAGGTAGGGTTCTTGCCAGCACCATCTGTGTAGAGAGTGACAATCCTATCTGACATAACAGGAGTCCAAGATACCTCTGGTCTGGACATGCACAACTTGATGAAGGCTTCACCTATTGGCAAGGTTTGCACAAAGGGAAAAAGGGCTGTAGTCTCATCCAAGTTGTGTAATACCGGACAATCATCCCGAATGGGCTGCGTATGGCTGCACCGCAGTACCCTATGGGCGACCGTATCAACTTCACCACACGCAGGGCAGGTGGGCTGACAGTTGGAGATATGGCTATATCTCTCCTCTATAGCAATTGCACCTGAGAGGTGAACATGGACTGCACCACGATCCTGGATACACTGCATCTGGCCTATGACCAACCTGGTCATATCCCAGTCAATTTCCAGAGGGCGCTCAACCCCCTTTCTTTTCCCTAATTCGGCCGCCAAGACAAATGCCCCACTCACAGAGGATGCACTCCCGAAGCAGCAACCAATCGTCCTCCCGAATATGCACTTTGGGCCTTCTTGACGAGTGTACAAAACCTTCATGGTCAACTGTTAAACCAATGCCCGCAAGATAAGCACGCAATGCCGTCAGTGGTCCAAAAGGGGTACCAGAATGTTCAATGTTCTTCTGAGCATGCGGATTTGCATGAACAAGGTGGCCAACATGGGATCAACATCCGGATCGTGCAAGAACAACGCAGTCTTACGATGCGCCCAAAAATGGGTATGACACACCGCAGTACAGATGTGGTCACGGAAATGCTGAAAATGCTTGCCACCAAGGAAGGTAATCTCAGAGCACGCCAGGGCAGGCTGGATCACCCTGCCTTGATAAGGCGGATCTTTTCTTTGGACTCTATCGGCAGCCTCTCGATTTTCTGTAAACGAGGGATGGCCGCCTCGATCCTAGGGAGTTTGATATACGTCATGGGGGCTCCAAGACATTTCCCATGCTGTTGTCTTTTCCAAGCAACCCGTGGTCGGTTCTTAGGCTGGACATTTACCGTCCAAGTCCACGATTTTTTGGCATCAATTTGAAGGGCCATCATCCTGCAAACGCAAGGTTTCGGCGACTGCTTGCTCAAAAAGGTGACAATTATTGGATGTGAGATCAAGGTTATCGACAAAAACCATGGCAATGACCTTGCTGTCTGCACCATTGTTGTTAAGCAACTTGATCCTATGCAACCAAAAGGCGCCGAACACTGCTGATGTGAGCACACTCAACGGGTCACCTTCCGGAATACCCGTTCTAGATGTAAAGCCACCAGAGAGGCTGCCCTGCACGCGCAAGCGCCGGTGCACGGAGTCGAGAAGGCCAATCCACACATTGACCACCGCAAGAGGGACCTTCACGGCCATCAAGACTTGGCGGACAAACTCACGAGGATTGAAGAATTTTACTATGTCCATACTCGATCCATAAAGGCTTCCCTGCGTGAGATGTGCGTTTTCAATCAAGACTTGAGTGCAGTAGTACGATTCCCACGAGGCACGGCCTGGGAGTCCACCCAGTACCCCAGGTGGCAGAAATGGCAAAAGTTGTGAGGTCAGCTTACGGCTCAACGTGCGGGCAAAGATTCTGTAACACAGCGGGGCAATGGTAATGGGACGGCAGTCAGTGATCTGGTCCGGTTCCAGAATTTTGGCCAACAGCAGGACTCTGGAAAGCATCCATGTTGTCACAAAAAGGTCAAGAAGCTTTTCATCAAGGCACTTGAGATCACATAGGCACCAACCGTCAGAGCCAACACTCGTATTGGATCGAGTGCGGGTAAGGGTGAGGCGAACTTCGGCACTTGTAATGCACGGATCCAAATCAATCGGAAAATTGCCCCCAAAATCACCCATGTCAGGCAACCCTTGGTCACCTAAGGTTGCAGCAGGGTTCCAGAACTGATCCCAGAACCGAAAGAATTCTCTGTGCATATTTTTCAGGTGGGTGAGCCACGAAGATCCGCCTTACTCACCTCCTGACCCGGATGAAGGAGAATGGTCCTGCGATCCTGATGCAGCTCCAAGGTCTGTCCCTTGCAAGTCACACGAGAAGGAGGATTCACTGGCTGTTGTAGCTGCAACACTGGTTTACACTTACTGCGGCATCTGGACACCAAGGCAGGTTTTGCAACCACTGTCACCTGTGCAACCTCAGGCGTGAAGTCACTCTGGATGTGCTGGAATGCGAGCTTGCCGCCCTGGTCGCTGAAGGACTTCTGCAATCTATGTTTCCAATCCTCATGACAAGCACTCCTCTGCCGGGAGAGGGCCTGCTTCGTCCTCCACAGAAGGATTATCACCCGTGATCGAAGGCAAATCCTGAGCATCCGACCAAGTGGAGTAGGACACCCCAAAACCACAAGCTGATAGCACTTGGTTCTGAATTGCGACAATCTGCTCACACAAGACCGGGGTAGGTTCCACTCTATGGTATTTACCTACGCATCTGATCGAAGCTTGCAATCGGCTGCACAGAGCGGGCCTCGTCACCAACCTGGTAATCAGAAACTCTGCCAGGTTTGCAGACTTGAGGGGTTGGAGCAATTTCAGAGTCGGGTGCCTGCATCGGCCTTCCTGAGAGGATTTCAGTTTGAGAAGTGGTGAAGCATCCTGTAATGCAAGTTTCCAGGATTTCTCCAAAAGCCGGCTCAGTGCCAGAAAAGGGTCACTGCGGAAATTGGAGCTAGCAAGGAAGGCTTCCTTACCTCCCTCATGTCGGTCTAAGACATCCTGTGCCGAGGCCCATGACCCCGACTTTTTCAGAAAGGCCCGTTGCTCTGGCGTGAGGATCCGGGGGAGTTTCCAATCAACAGAGCGGCACACAATGACATCCAACTGAAATACACCACACAGAGGGCGATGCTGCGGGAAAGCAAAATCTGCAATGGTACCTGCCGAAGACAACGCACAAGTCATAAAAGGACACATGAGCATGATGTCGTGGCGAACATCTTCCTGATACGTCGAACCCAATGTCTGTCCAAATTTGACCGCTGCAACTTCACCTATTTCAGCCCATCCAGACGCTCGAAGAGGTGCAAAGGCACTGACTGAATGGTATTCGGCATTAATGTCACCCATGATCAAAGCAGGTCCCTTCCACTTCATGGCTAGTTCCACAGCAAGCGCGCACAGGAATTCGCGAAGAGCTTTGCGTTCCTGATCACGCTGTCTTCCCTGTACCCTATTTGGAGGAAGGTACACCGTAATCACACAGATTTCCAAGCGCCCATGCTGCACAATCACGGACAAAATCCTGGAAGTGTCCGTCATGCTCTGAGGTAGGGACCGGCGATCTCTCCTAGATCCATGAGGCGAAATCCATGCAACACCTGCATAGGTGGGCTTGTGAACCAAATTGAGAGCATGACGCAATCTAGGCTGACAAGCCTTGCTTGGAATATACTGCATTTTCTGTTTGGCAAAATATCTGCTAGCCGCCAAAATGTCTTGATGGGTACTCGAGGTTTCAGTGAGTCCCCAATGACCTTCTGGCAACTCAATGATCGAGTCCAAATAAAGATTGAGTTTGGTACAGTTGATCGTGCCGAAGATCATCCCCTGCTGATCGCAAGGTGGTCCTGGATTTGCCGCCTCCCAATGCGAAACCCCCGCATGGGGTGAACCCCAAAACCTCTCTCAAGATCAGAAACCCCTGAGATCTCCGGCACATGAATGTTCCAAGGAAAACCACACTGCACAAGTGCCACTGGCTTACGCCTGCAATGAACAGCGCAATAGTCCATGAATGCAAGATACTGTAATTGGCAAAACCAACATACATCCCGGTGCAATCTTCCCACCAGAATAAACGACCACATAATGGAAAAGGGACACATCAAAGAGGAATCACATCTCGTCGTCTTCCATCGCCTCACCACTTGGATGCTGCACCTTGGGGCGCTTTCCCTGACTTTGTTAGAGTGGGTCCGAAAAAGGGCCTCCATCGAGCGTGTCAACTGATCCGACTGCTGTTTCATGGCCACATGCAGCGACTGGTGAAAATCGACGTGGCTTTGCTTCAAGTCAGTGCGAATCACATTCATCTCCTTGGCAGTCACCTCCACGTGAGTGGCCAGCTTCCCTTCCAACGCAGAAAGGTGAGCCTTGGTGTCCTGCTGTTGTAATGCATTAGCCATGGGCGCATCGGTATTGCCGAAGAAACGACCGTGGGTTGACCCTTATTCCAGCTCGCCCACGGGTCACTCTTCTGAAGCGGATCTTCATGGGAACCACAAGTTTGCTGCAACGCCGGCTTCCATGCCCCGGCAACAATGACATGTGTCTCTTTCGGAGTCTCAACCAGGGGTTGCGAAGCCTCTTCAAGACCTTGGCCTTCCAATTGATCTTTTCCAACCATGCAGCAACAGTATCAGCGTCTGCATTCTCGGGAACACCTGTAAGGCGCCACTTGAAGATCACTCGGATGGCAGGTGGAACATCTTCTCCTGGTCTCTTTTTCTGCCACACCTCAATGAAAACTGCACTGCTGAGTCGCAAACCAAATGACTTCCTATTGCGGATGAGGCCCAAATGTTTTGAATTCCATGGCAGTAGTCAGAGCCATTGACCGGTCTTTCCCACACCAAAAAATTCGCAGATTCTCACCCTTACGGAAAGGTTTGGGTGAGAAGTAGATCGATGCAGCAGTGAAGCCACTGAGCTTCAAATAGGACCAAACATCCTCCTGTCCCACTCGTATGAAAACATGAAACTCATCAGAGGTCGCAGGCGTGGAAGATTTGGAGTCACGTCTCCAGGACCTACCCCAAACATCTTTAATCTGACTGCCAAGCACATGCTTCAAGATTTCTTTGACCGGTGCAACCACCAGCTGTTCCCATTGCGACTCGTCCCTGTAAACTGTGGTGCTTAGCACTGCGTCATCTGGTGTAGAGACAGTCGCTCCCTTGCTCAAATGTAGCTCGATCTTCGCCTCCCCCAAATGTACCAGCCACAATCTGGCCAGCGCCCTGCGCTCGCCGTCACTGACCGGAAAGGTGACTGCTTCCTCACTGAAAGGGTCGGGCACTCCAAGAGGTCTACAGCAAAGAAAACTGTGCTCATCGGGCATGATAGCGCGCTTTCCATCCAGAATAGCCTGCAACTCCTTTGGAATAACCAGGAAAAGGCCTGACACTGTAAGAGCCCACGTTCGATGAACAACAGCGTTGCTACCATCTTTATTCTTGAAGATACCATCCGGAAATGAGATGTTAGCCACATCCAAATCATCGAATGACTGCTTGGATGACGCATGCTTTGTCACTGGTCGCGGCATCTTTGCAAGAGCCGGAAGTAGCGACCGTAGATCCACCTTCCGTTCGTCACCCATCTTCAGCAATGCCGCGAAAGCTGTAGCATCAGGATGTTGCATGATCTGGGAGAGGAAAACGTCAGCTGGAACCACCTCCGTAGTTCACGAATTTTGGCCTGGGCGACATTGGCATCAGCTCCTCTACCAACCATAAGGCCAACTGCCCTACCCAAACAACGTAGGTCAGTACCAGGTTTGGTTCCACCTCCGACTCCCTTGCCGCCTCCACGCAGCCTGAAACAGAAATGAAGAACTGATCCATTGGAAATGCCATATTCGCGCAAAGGGCCAACACCAAGGATGCAGGTCCCAAAGTAAATGCGGACCTCCTCGGTTTCACCTTGAATCACATCAACAAGTCCTGCCACAATATCCGACCCAGTCGGCTCCTGTATCTGAGAGAGCTGTAGGTACCTCGTGCGTCCATTGGGCAGCCGGATAAAGACATGGGACAAGGCAGCTGAGAGTTCATGGCTTCCTCCATACCATGGCGTAACACGATTTTGTGTGCCAGTCGGATCCTGCACGCCACTGAAGATCGCCACACCTCGAAAAACAACATCCTGAAGAAAGGCACCAAGAGAAAACGTAAAGCGGGGGATTCCAAGGTGTTCCGGTGCACATACCGACATGACATGATGTCCATCAATCTGAATTGCAATCTGCAAACCTCCATGTAGATGTCCATCAACAGCAACTGCAACCGCCGGGCCAAGACGAGGGTCTTCTTCCTGAAAAGCGATCTGGTATTCATGACCACATCCACCTCCTCGTACCCTGAAAGAGAGCTGGACCACAGACCCATCTGAGATGCCATGGTCAATCAGTGACCCTTCCCGCAAATGCCTTGATTGAAAGGTCAGCAACGCCTCACCCTCATCAGCCTGAATGACATCTGCAAGTCTGGAGAGGAGATCAACCACGCATGCCTCAGTGGTGAGTCGGACACATCTTGTGCCCCCCGGCAGCTTCACAATTGCAAATACGTCTGGAAGGGCACTGTGGACGACACCTCGGGTGATGGATGCATCACTGAACTAGAAGACCTGGCCTCATCCAAATCACGGTCATCACGAACAACCTGGACGCACGGCAATGCCAGATCAAGGATCCTGTCATGTGGCAGAGCATCGATATGCAAACCACGCACTGGACCTCAACATGCTCAGGCACCCACACAGACATAATCTGATGGTTAAGGCATGTTGCACTGCTCCTAGCTTGAACCCAAACATGGAACCTCAAAAGAACAAAGCTCGTCCGAAGCGGCCGCAGTTCTTTTTACCGGGATTGCTGAAAGTTGCACTGCTTCCAGGGCACTGGTGCGCCTGGAACAGCAGGCACATTGACCCCCCGAAATGTGAAAAGGCAAGACAATGCGTGTCCTTGCGTGCACATGCAGTGCTGGGGGGGGCGCGGCATGCGTGCCCACGCCCCAAGGTCCGGAGACCGAAGAGTCCGGAGACTCAAGGTCCGGAGACCAATGTCTGGTCCGGAGACCAAAAGGCCCGGAGGCCACCAATGAAAGTGCAGAGTGTCTGCTACCTATCCTTGCAAAGCCTGGCATAGGGCAATGCAGGGTGGGTGGGTGGGTTTCAAGAAATGAAACCGCAGGTTTGGGTCAAGGCTAGGAGCAAAACGGCCAACGCATAGTTCGATTCACAACATGCCCTAAACACAAGGGAAAAGAAACCCTAAGCGTTAAGGCATGTTGCACTGCTCCTAGCTTGAACCCAAACATGGAACCTCAAAAGAACAAAGCTCGTCCGAAGCGGCCGCAGTTCTTTTTACCGGGATTGCTGAAAGTTGCACTGCTTCCAGGGCACTGGTGCGCCTGGAACAGGAGGCACATTGACCCCCCCTTCAGTGTTTCAGGCAAAACCCGCTGGGCCGCAGGCCTCATCACCCGCCCTTCAGAGTGGGGTTGTACCTGGCAGGGCAGATGCTAGCGCGACCATGCACGCTGGGCTGTGAGCAGCCTGTTATGCAGTGACTGCACTTTTTCCGGTC